TAAAACAAAGCATTGGAATCAAATTTGTTCGTTTTGTTAAAAATCCGAACGTAAAATCACAATTCAACAAGAAACAAACCCACAAGAAGTGGAGTGAACGTTCTAACTAATTTGTTTTAAATTGTGTCGGTGAAATGAAAAAACGAAGGAAACCAGCGACTAGAATCAGGGTCCCGTCACATCCGGAGTATTGGCCCGAGTCATTGGTGACCCTAGAGAAAAAATATGAATCATTGTCATTGATTTACGAAACCGCAAATGGACACAATTGGTCATCCGTTTGACACATTAGAAAAATATCCGGCTTACACCATTATAGTACGTATTTTGTAAAGTTGTAGAATCATTTTTGTATGTTGGTCATTGCAAAATTGAGTTGACAGCACTCTTTTATTACTCGCTTACTCTTTAATATTGTCATATTAATGACAAACGCATCATTTTTTATCACTTTCACATCAAAACCTAATTATTGTTATTGCAGTGCGCAAAAGCAGCGAACGGATGCGCGTAATTTTTTCTAACGCGTCCGTTTCCGGCCATAACAAAACGTTAAATATTGAATTTTGAAAAAAATCATATCCCCTAACTGAATTTACGCGATCCGGGGCACTAACGACAGTAAAATAACAATTACAACGACATAGATTTTATCTACGTAATTGGGTGCGCGTACAAATTCGTGTCGCCGCAGGTAATGGCCGCCGCAGTTTTATTGTGTTATTTACACAAATAAAAACGTTTATTTTTACATTTTCCCAAAATTAAATATGGGCCAATTTACTCTCAGCACGGGAATTGCGTAGTTAGTTATAATTTTATATGATTTAGTACAAAGTGTGGTGAGTGCGACAAGGGCGAGAAGACTGGCTTCAGTCACTGCCTATTTGTTTATTACATTCATGTGTTATTACTTGTGTCATTTGTGTCGCTCGTGTAATTATTGTCGGGAGGAAATCCTCGTTGTTTTGTAATCAGTTGTACGTAATGCGCAATCAGTTTCCAGAGCCTGTTTATCTAACGTTATTATGATGATTGTGTTTCATTATAATGCGTTTATATTTGAATATGAACAAAGTATTGCTATAAAAAACCTTAAGTGCAAAGTAATTTGTGCAAATAATGTCTTTTCGTGTTAAATTGCCTTGATTTAATATCAAGTAACGTGAAGTTATTAGATTTTTTAAATTAAAATAAATCCGATATATATATATGTGTACCTACCACAGACTACCCAAAATCAGATTTGACAATATCCGTCTGGAAAAGATACCAAAATGATTACCAAAATGTAGGTGTCCATCCATGTCTGTACAATATATACTGTAGCGGTGTACAATAAAGATGTATAAATAAAAATATAAAATTTTAATTAGGAAATTTAAAAAAAGAGTTTGTTGTGAGTTTTTGTCTAAACCTAAAATTTGACTTATACAAGTCTACAGACCTGATATCCCACAATATTTAGCAGAATGTACAATAAAATTAGTAAAGGAAGATATTTGGAAGGGTGCAATGATCACAAACATCATCAACTCTGTGCCACATAATATAACGTTATATTAAAATAAAGGTAGTCTTTAAGTAAAATAAGGAAGCGTCTATTAGAGAGGCATCATATTGTATTGCAAAGTGAAATGAATTTCACGAAAACAACTACAAACAATAACGATAATGAGGTAAAAATCATGTCCCAAGTTTCACACAACGCAAATTACAATTTAAATCACCTAAGTGGTGTAGTTTACTTTCTACGCCAATTTTTGTTCAAAAATTCTCCTTTGTTTGAATTTAAAATTATGTTAAACATTATTATGTTAGAATAACAATCCGTAAAACGATTTTATATGATTGTACACGGAACAGAGCAATAGAAGGCTCTGGATTGCACCAAATGTCGTTTTAATAGTTTTAATTACGCCTCGGTGGGAGTCTAATTGCGTATGCGCACCGCTGCTGATTGCTGTACGACTTTAATCTTGCGATAATGCTACTTCGTGGAAACTTTTCTACAAAAGCCTTAAGAATGTAATGACGATTACTAAATCTTCTAAAAATTCTTATACTTCAGTCAGAATATAAGCTGGGCTAAATGGCTTAAATAGTTTTTTAATAAGAGAATATTTCTTTTAAAGTGGACTTTAGGAGCATTTTAACAAAGAAAAAGATTTACGAATACGTACTTCAAATACAACATAAATCTTTAAAATTATGTATAAGTATCGTATGTTTAATAACTTATCAAACGGTATAAAAACTAAAATATTCTATGCTTATTAATTTGAATAAAATGAATCTCGAAAATTGAAATAAATTAACCTATGAATCTTCTTAAAAAGTAAAATGTTTTAATAAGAAAATAATGCTTTAATAAAAAATAAAATATGGATTTCTTTTAAGTACTAACTATTTGAACATCATTAAATGATAACATGTCATGTTATGAATGCAAAAAAAACACCAATAAGGTTTTACATTTGTCTAGAAAAAATTACTGTTCAGAAAAGATGTCTGAATTAATGGACAAAATTTACGTTAACGAGTGAAAGCCGAAAAAGGAAAATCCACCCATAAATGAATGCATATTGTTATTAATGAAATAAAAATACCGTTTATGTCATAATACCATACCTAATTAAAACACAACATGAAAATATTGATATCATAAAAACAAATTGTAGATAAAACCATATTAATATTAAAATTGCTTAGATTAGTAGGCAATTATATTAACATTTAATAATTAATATTCAGAAATCGGTGAAATTTATTTGAAACATGTCTAATGTTTCTGCCGATTTATTTTGTGATAATGTGTGACTAAGGAAAATTTGTGGCTGAGCAATCAACCTGTTTGCTCATTTAATCATTAGTCTATGAGTAGGCGTCTGGTGTAAACATCTACCATAAACAGGTACGAGCAGGGCCGCATTAGGCCCTTAGGAAATGTAATCCTCGGGGCCCCTTATTTTTAAAGATTGAGAATTTTTGCAAGTCGAAGAAGGGTTGCAGGTTGTAAGTAATGGCATCAGCAGCATCAACTAACTGATGCGTAACTCCTCAGAAACTAAAAGCAAAAGCGGGGCCCCTAGGCAGTTGCCTACTCTGTCTAATGGTTAATCCGGTCCCGGGTACGAGTATATTACTCATTGTCTTTGTGATAACATTGTGTCCTACTGGCACCTTTTAAGGTAAAAATCAAAAAGCCACCTAGAATAGTTTTAACTGCAATAGCATAGACATGTTTAAACTTTCGCTTTCCATTATAATCTGGTTTTGTATACACACAATTATCATTATTTTACTGTCCTGCTTCGTATGTTGTTTATAACATATTTAGAGAATTTAGAGAAGTGACCACCACCGGTCTTGGACCCCCCCTCCCAAAATCGGGAGCGGGGTTTGGGGCTCTGATACTCTCATTCATTCGGTATCATTGCAATACGATAATGTGGCAAAAATAACGATGAAATCTTTTCTTCTTACTGGTATCAGTCATGGTAATTATAGTTAATTTTAAATCATGATCATATGATGAAATGATTGGTTTTAGTCACAGCGATATCACCTGTGATTCTGAAAGATAAATACTATCAAAATCAATCAAAATTCTTTTTATCGAAGATTACGACCTTTTTTTTGTCAAAACCAACGAAATAACAAAAAAAGGTTATTTCTTTGCGCTGTATGCCGTAAAAGTGGGTGCGAGGGGTATACCAGCTAAATCCCTAATAACCTGAAAAATAACCTGCTTAAAGACCTTGGATTGCCAAGTGCTTTAGTAAGCTCTCTTCTTGAACGAATATCCAATGCGGCATTGCTAGGCTCGTATTAAATATGGTTGGGTAGAGGGGGTAACACAGCAGACAGTGGAGGTGAGTGCTGACGCGTCGCAAGGAGTACTCCCTAAACCTATTCCTGGGATCCTATACGCAATTCCCAGACGCTGTCTAAGTCGTATGTGTTGCCCCCATCTATCATGCGATGAACTTGGCATTCGCACGGTGAATCCATGGAACGGTAAGAAATAGGTCTCTAGACCTTCCGCGAGTCTGGCACTAACGTTATAATAATAATAAGTCACAGGTGTGATTACATGATTTAAAGATCATATGATTTACCTCAGATGTTTGTGATTTTATTGCATCTCTAACTGCTATGTTAAAAAGCGTTGAAACAGTTCTTCAACTTTTTATTGTGTTCGAGCTTTGAAATGATTGTCGTCACATTATTGAATTATGAAAATTGAATTAATTTAAAGTTAGTTTGTTGGTTAGGAAGAATGGTAATTTTCTGAGATTTTATAATAACATATAGAACTAAAAATTTTATGAAAATTGTGTTCAATTAAGAGTCAATTTCAACCGTCCCCGCTGGAAATCATTGGGAGAGGCCTATGTCCAGCAGTGGACAAGCATAGGCTGAGGGTTCTTACACACACATTCTGCAATTGACTCTCGTCAATTGCAGAATGTGTGTATATCGTCGCTGTGTATATATAAAAGTTTTTAATCAAATCAGTAGTATTATTAATTAGCCCTTTTATGTTCTTCGTCTATTTCTGCTTCGACTCCTACTAGATTTGGACAGCATCATGGATCATGCTTATACGGACTTATGAGGCAGCTACTTATAGGGTGTTGCAGGTTAAAGTTATGACATATTTTAAAAACTTATATATGCGGGTAGTTGTATGATATAAAATGTTCCTATGTTGCTTGGTAAATAGGAGTTTTGTCCGTATGTTATAAGAAAGTGTCTTTATTCGTAGTAACGTAACATTAAAATTTAAGGTTGGGAGTAATATGACTTTCATACACATAAATAACTTAAAAACACGTCGAGTACACGAGTTGTTACATGAACTCGAGACGTTTATTAACATTATAGTTACGTCTCAAATAGACAAGACTATTGAAAAATCCATTTAGGGATTCATCAAGATATTTACCGAAACCTTACATTCAGTTTTTTTCTGCAGGTATTTGCATGTTTTGAGTATGAACAAAAAAATATACCTGGAGAAATCAGCTTACAAATGGTAAAATTATCAAAAAAGTACCTAGGTACATAAAAAATGTCGAATTCAGAAACTTCGTTCTTTTGAAGTCCGTTAAAAATGTAGGTTATACTGAAGACTTCTCTCACCACGTTACTTAGGGATAATCTTAAGAAAGGTGTAGAGTTATTCTCATCTTATGACCTTTGTCGTGCAACGGATGTAGTGCATTCGACTACCACGTCTCATGCGTCACAGACTCGATTTCAGATTCAGATTCGAAATTGAACATATGAGTACATATGTACCTAGATAGAAACTGACAAATGCTTCTTTTAGTAAATAATTTAATAATGTGACATTGTGATAAAAAAAATGTAAGTAATTTTCTCACACTCGTATTTTAATTTTATGATCCTCATGCGAAAGAAATACAGATTTATTTTATCTTGCACCTTCAGGAGACAAGCAATAAAGATATATATATTAAAAATATTATTCTACAGATATTAATATTATATTTCAGCTATCTAACAAACAATGACTAATAATAATAATAAAAATAGGTAGTAGACAAGTAGTGAAGAGTAAAAGACAACTCAGAAGACAACGAACACGAAGAGAAAAGCACTGTTTAAAAACATTTATGAACTATAAAGTTGAATCTTTCTATAAAATATATACCACTGTAAATAATTTATTTGTCTGCCAAAGTTATTCCGCTAACTAAGTTGCAGCTATTTGCAATACCTAAGGAGGCCGGTTTATAGCTTTCGCGCAATTAGTTCAAAGATGCCGCCACTCGGATAAATAGTATTACAATAGCTATATAAAGCTTTCATGGCTTCTAATTGGATACCTATTATGGTTTAAAATATACCTCGATAGGTATATTTTAAACCTATCGAATAAGAATATTATTATAATTGATAAAAATTTCTAAAATATACTTATAGAATAAGTATATTTATATTAATGTAAAGTGTAATGTAAAATGTAAAGTCCATCAAGTCATAGCTATATTTTAGACAGTTCTACCTGCTATTAATTTTAATCATCACGATTTTCTAAATTAGTATTCATATGAGTAATAATGTGCAAAATTGAGAGTTTTCTTTTACCAACGACTTGTAACTTACATAAACAAATCTTTATAGCCTTTGCTAAGGATGTGTACATTCTGTCTAGCTCAAATCATCCATTAACTTACAGCGTACTTAATTACAGCGCCGCAGTTAGGCTTTTGACACGGCAGACAAACGCATATATCGTGACTTCGGCCAGTAAAGTCAGTTTGTTGATAAAGTCAATTAGACGTATCGAAGTAGGGACCCGTATCAAGTGATTCAGCCCACCATCGCCGCAGTGGTGATATCACTGCGTCGCCATTGGCTAGGCGTGCCAAAGGGGAGTGGTCTTAGCCCGCTACTTTTTGTTATACTTTTTCGAGTGGTGCGTAGGCGACCGGAGCCGGCTTTATTCTCTACCAGTCGATTGAAGGCGTTGGTGTGTTATAGTTTATTGCTCTGTTGTCGTTTGAGACGTCACGGGGTATCATGTAAATTGTGGCCTTTATTGACGGCAATATATTCGTGTTTACTATCTTTCGTCTCGTGCTTCAAAATAAGGACTTTGGTTTGGAGTTCAACAGTGATAATTGGGTCTGGTAAGTCAGTGTATTTAATAATTTATATTACATTCTCGTAATTGACTTTTAAATGTATAATAGGTGTTTATAATTATCAAGGCTACTATGAATTAGATTTGACTTATTATGGTTTAAATATCATGATTATTATAATAAATAGGATGTTGATTTAGTTAGAAAAGTGTTTTTAATGTGATTTTACTAATGTAATTAAAAGTAAGTAATAGGTGAAAGTATCTCTCTGTCTACTTAAATATACTTAATGAGTACAATTTTGAACCAAACTGCAAATTGCTAAAGAATTTGCACAAATTCCCTAAAAATATATATTTACCAATCTTCTGTACAATTATATATCTTAAATTAAATGTTTAACCTAACCACAGACAATAATAACCACAACTATCCACTAAACGCCTTGTAACTAACACAAAATATTAATATAATGAAATTACTTCGTAACTAGGACCGGCTTTCATTAATCAAAACCCACGGACTCATTTAACATCTCCCATCATATTTTTGGAAGTCAAAAAAGGCATAATGTTTGATATTTTAAAAGCATTTGCATAATTAGGTGAATTTTATTGCTTTATTGAATTAGGGCCGATGTCAGGCTTAAAATTGAAATCAGCGGGGGTCTTGTGTTGTTAATTTTGTTTATAGCTTGTATTATGGTCAGCTTTGAATGTTATTCCCATATCTCAAGCTCTATAAAAGTTGTTAGATATTGTAAAGACGGACAACAATAGCGTATTTATGTTATTGATCTTGATTTTATTAGCCTCTCCAACGGAATGTGTGGGTCACATTGTATTTTTTTATAAGCTTGGTCCGTGGCGTGTTAGTTTTATTACTTTGGCGTTGTTCCTATTTGTCTTATCTAAATGTATGTTAATTATAAAACTATAAAATTTATTTATAATTGTTATTAAATTTGTAATAAAAATGTTATGTGATATTTTTGCCGACGCCGCCGTCGGGCGACGGGTGGCATATGTCTTGTACAATAACTTTAGATCATAAAATATATAATGCATACCTACTTACATATTCATTTTACTAAAAATATAAATAAGGGGCCTTCTGCCAAAGGCCTTAATTTAAATATCTGTTTTATGTCTTGATAAATTTATAATACCTAAAGACTTTTTTATGTACTTTTATTATGTATTTATATTTGTGAGGGAGATAGGCATATGCAAATTATGAACCATCGCAGTTTATATTTTTTTCTTGAAAATAACGTACTTTTTATTTATGAATTATCTGTATTCAAAATATATATATATGAATTAAAGATAGATATAAACATCTGATAATAGGGTAAAACTGGAGAAAATTAAGTGGAGAAAAGGTCCCTACAATTAAATTATTTACTGAATTTATAGTTGACGTACTCTAGTAGTTAATATATAAGATAAGATGATAAGTCGTGCTATTTGAGCTAGGAAGGATAATACACGAACTTGCCCACATGCATTTAAATTAGACTTGCAACGAATAGTATATTCGGCAATATACCGAATACCGAATATTCGGCGAGGCCCCTGACCGAATAGCCGAATATTAGGCAAAAGTATTCGGCTGGATTTTAGCGCCAAAAACTTGTGCAGACGTGAATTAAATTATGTACCTGTTTTATGTACCAATGACTACTTAATAAATGATTATAAAAGAAATGAGAACCTTACCCTTCTAAATTTTGATTACCACAATAATTCAAATACATAAAATCCTCCATTTTTCCTATTCAGAAGATGATTATGTACCTGTATTATGCACCAATGACTACTTAAATGATTATAACAGAAATGAAAATATGAATATATACGTAATCAATCGATTTTAATTTTTCATTTTACCAATTATTTCTCAATGACAAAATATATTATTTAAGTATTCGGTATTCGGCCGAATAATATGTAGATATTCGGTATTCGGCCGAATATAATAAAAGCAGCCGAATAGGCCGAATACCGAATAGTAACCGAATATTCGTTGCAAGTCTAATTTAAATCTGATTTAACCTAACACCCATAAAATGTAAGAATCTTCCCCATTAATACAATGAAGTCACTTGGTTGCAGAACTGCCTTACCTGTTAGTTTTACATTTAATTTAATTTAAATGTTTACATGTGTTTTACCATAGGAATGTTCTCAGTTCTTTATATATATTTATTTAACAAACTTGGAAGACCTATAGCTAAAATAACATCTTAGTAAAAAATATGAAAATGTGTCAGCGAATGACAAGCCTCCACTTATAGACAAAATTATAAGTAGGGCAGATTATATTTTTACAATAGGAATGTTCTCAGTTCTATGATTTATCTATGGTCAATTTGTTAATTTTCATAAATTCCACTGTTTTTACTTCCTCATTAGTCTCGCTTTTTGCGAAGAACGTTGTTTGATGAATAATATATTTTATTAGACCATACATTCGTGATTAAATTCATACAGCTGACAGCACAACTTAGGTATTCTTCTGATGCTTCCAGATAATTATGCTTGGTTATTCAAATGTCACCGTTAGCCAAAAATTTACTTGGCACCAAAATTGAATTATTTCAATAATATATATGTTTAAATGCATGTTTTGTCGTATATAACATCTAAAATAGATCAAGGTTATGCGACCAATTCACACAATCTTCATTCGAACCATTTCAACCATGCAACGCATTTATTTCCCTAATTATTATCACTAGACAAATGTTTTTCTTTTCAATAAATCAAAAGTATAATCACGTAGGTAACCGTAATTACAATTTCCTTTAGTAACATTTATCATTTTAAATGATTTGTAGCTGGCAATGTCTTGCATGCGGACGTTATATCTTTATTACCCTTTCAACCGATCTCACGTCTCCATTGCTGCAATGCTCACTAAATTGAGTTCTCACATCACAATAGACCTTAGAAAGAGCGATTTTAACCGTTTTTTACTAAAGGGTTGGCCGATCTCATTCGATTAACATGACCAGCCAGAAAGACACGCGTCACTTTTCTATGCTGAAGGTAATGTGTGTCCAAGATGAGTTTACGATCGAAGGTCAGAGATCTTCGCAGAGCGGTTAATATAAAACCTTCGCGATGACTTGCGGATGCCTCCGGAACGCGAGCAGCATTGTTGATTGTATTAGAGTTAATTAGATCTTAATTAACGTTCTGGTTTCTCATTACACGCTACTCGATGCTACTAGCCGCGTTCGTAATAGGAATGTCTATTTACATCCATACCGCTTGTATCTTGATTATTTTTTTAATGTTCACATTATTAAAAATGAAGATTCGCCGTTGTTCGTTATGGGGTGATGAAATTGAATCGGCTGCTATTGAGATTACGATTACGATAAATAATATTAGCTCTGTGAATGCTATTAGACAAGCAGACGGTGTTTTCTTTAAGCACTATAAGGAAACAAATTATATAGATATGTGTTTTATTGTTAGTGATAATAATTTATCTACCAACAATGGGTAGAAGAATGCAAAAAAACCGCAATGAATTTAGTGTAGTATGAACAAAAGCATTCTTAGTCGTCACAGTGAGCAAAACAAATCAAGAACAGAGAATTACATCCAATTAAACATTTTACCGCTTTTTAAATAGCTTCTGATAGTCATCATTGGAAATAATTAATCGTGGCTATAATAAGTTAAAGGTATTCGACGTAGCATAATAGCATTAGCGTGGTAATGTCAGGGTTATCAGGTAGCAGACAGACATCAGTCAGGGGACGAATGAGTCAGGCACTTGCAGCTCTTATCTGAAGCTTAGCGATATAATCCGAAACGCCATTAACACTCGCCTCAGACCTAATGGACAAAAACGCTTAATCCTTCATTTCTTAGAGCTAACGATAAAGTGCAAAATGGACATTCAGAAGTTTTGGGTACGTGTTTGTTTACACAAAGATATAATAGTTAAAAGGGGTTCTGAAAAAAAGGATTAATAACTATAAAAAAAAGAAAAAAAAAATGAGATGATTTTGTACAGTGCTATCTATAAAGTCATAGATTTACGGTACATAAGTATATACGTAAGTAAAGGAATTCATGACATGTTCATAGTTTATTTAGAGTCTAGACCAATGCATAACACCGAATTCTTATTTCAATCCAAATATCTTGCAATGGGCGAGACTTAGACCCTAGACTAACGTATTTTTTTTTATTAAACAATATACTCGTAAGGCAAGCAAAACAATTTGTTTTCTGATGTACCAGAAAAAACAATGTAAGAAACTGAACAACTTAAGGGCAATCTGTCAATTCTGTTAACATGTTTCAAGATCTCCCTACTGTCTTTTGTCTTACTCAGTATGTCATTAATTTATAAAGACAATGTTTAACCATTTTTTTAATTTCCGTTTCAAACTTTTGCTCTCAAACAAACCTTGTCCTGACTATTACAAACACAATAAAAAGGCAGGAGCTAAATAAGAGCAGCCATTTTGAAATTATCTGCTTACATACATTCGGCAAATGTTTTTATTTAAATGGCAATTTTGTTATATTATTATAAGCACTACATAAACATATGTGTAGAGTTGATAATACAAACAATTAGTTGAAGTGATATCTATTTATAAGGGGTAATTTACATTTAAACACCAATGGAAATGTTGATTAACCTTTAGTGTAGACATCCAAATATTAATCCTGTAGGCGCCTCTTTGGTCATATCTCTTAATCCTATTATATTATAATTTTTTAATGTATGTTCAATGAAGGCAATGTTATCACATTTGAATGGATTATAGACACATACTTTATTATCGGGGATTAGTTGAATAAAATTAAGGTTTTGTATTACATTTGTTGTCATGATTGTTTTCAAAGGTGCCATTCTACCTTTAAAAAGAGAAAGAAAAATTATAAAAAAAGAAAGATTTTTGATACGTACATACTTTACACAGAAACGTCGAAACCAATCGCAATAGACACTTTAGTAATACCTAAAATATAGTATATTTGTATTGTTAACAATTTTTTTATCCCTATTTC